TTTTTTTAGTTTGCTTCTTAGTATGTTGGCTACCATTCTTTGTGCTCAATAATATAGTTAATACTATTATTAAATTATCAAAAAAATCCAATACATTTCTTGTTAATGATTTTATTCTATTTTTATGTTCATGGTTAGGATATATAAATTCATTTTTAAATCCAATTATTTATACAGTTTTCAATTTGGAATTTCGAAAAGCATTTGCCAAAATACTTTTCTCACCATGTAGATTGTCACCACCATCGTAATCCGAACCGGTTTTTCTTTTTCTTGTCATTTGTGTTAAATATATATATATATATATACATGTATGCATACGCTTTGTTTTATATCCACTACACCACCGCATTTGTGATGTGTGTATGTGTATTTGTTGCTCCTTTAGCCTGTTTTACCATATTTTTTATTTTTAAAAAGAAAGAAAAAGAAAAACTTTAAAAATTCTTTTTTATTATTTGTTTTAGATCAATAAAAAGAGAATAATTAATGAATATGTACTACTGAATAGAAAGATAGATAGATAGATATGAGAGAAATAGCAAATGATTTTTTTTATCGTGTCGAAGTGAATTGATGTCTTTCTGATTTGATTCGAGTTGAATAGAAAAGGAAAAAAGATCTTACATCCATCAGTTTTTGTTTTTTCATATGCTAGTAGACAATTATTAGATCTCGAGAGAAATCTTATTAACCGCTTTATAAAATAAGAACCAATGAAGAGCAAGAATAAGTTTTCCGGCTATATATGGGTATAAATAACGTAATACAAGTATTTTCAAGTATATATATAGTATAACAAAAAAAAACTCGGAATGTGAAAATTTATTATGTAAATAAATGAATAACAAGAGTTAATTATGCTTCAAAATCATTTAATATAAAATAAACAAGATGTAGGTAATAAAGATATATAAAAGTCGATGATTATAATAATCAGAGAGTATTATCATCATAATTAACTATCGACATTATCGATAAGGTCATACGTAAAAGCTTGATAAAAAAAATAATCATACTCTTATAGATAACAGTTTGTCTTTAATCACCTCTATGTATTATGATATGAAAGTAATACTATTCGACCTTAAAATGCAATTTGTTTATATATGAATTCATTGAAATTTGATGTAGTTAGTAGACTATTGAATGATGGAACGACTAACAATCATTTTATAGCAATAAAGTTGTTTTTAGAAATCTTGTTCTATGACAATGCAGTAAATATAAAATACTTGAAATCAATTCTTGTAAACTAGAATATAATTATGAAGATAGGAACATAGCTTTACTTTTTTAAATATTATTTGTTTATACTTCAACTAATAGCATAGTAATTAACTTTTAATAAGATTTACGTGATTTTCATTTTTTCTCGTAATATATTTTACAGTACAATTTTCAATTACTTAATATCAGGTATTAATCTTTAGATAATATCATAAGATGCACTACGAAAAGCTTTATAATTGACATTAGCCCATTTATTTTTTAACTGCACTTTTTGTTTTAAAATAAAAAAAGAATTTGAAGGGTTACATCTCAACCGGCAGAAATAGATTATTTGTTGTTATTTCATGATTTTCATACTTTATCAAAAAGAAAACAAAATATAATTAAAAAATGGAGTCTTATATGAATTGCAGAGCTTATCCAGCGGCATCGTTTAGTATATGTTGTATTTTTAAACAACGTACTATGTAATCCGAAGTTCATATGTAAATCATTAACATTTAATCTAATACAGCTAGCACATATCCTAAGGAAACATATCTTATTTGAAATATAAACATAGAGCATTCAAATTCGGTATGCTTTCTCATAGATGAAGAAATAGATTTTTTTATTGCTATACATTTCGAAAAAAAACTGCATTTGCCAAAGATATTATAATAATGATGTTGTCTAGAGAAGAAAACAATTTTGTTTTATTCAAATAAATATTCATGATCTATTTATTGCCAATAACAACTAAGAAGAAAGTCAAGGGTAAAAATAACCGAAGGCATATGATGAGGAATTTGATTTTCTGAAAAAGTCATCATCTTTAGAAGAGAATTAATAGATGTATAAATATTAGCGGTATAGTAATATATCTATACACCTCTAAACCACTATATGTCTATTTTGCTAAGAAGTTAAACCAGTCGAACTTTAAACAGAAGCTTCAACTAGTCTAAATTTGAGGTACAACGTAATCTATGCTTTACCGGTGACTAAGTTACTACTGTAGTTAAGAATGTCACTGTGAGAACCATATAGTCTATCTTCACTCTCTCAACAATCAAAATTTTGTCCATAGATAGCTATCATGACCATTGGGATCTCTTAGAAATCTCATCTTAAATGAAGATTTTCTCTTTAGAATACTTAAAAAATTTAAAGAATGATTGTACACGATCAAGGATAAGAAAATCAAGTATCTTCAACATTCAACAATTAAAGAAAGAAGTATTCGTTCAAAATGAAATTCGCACGAACTTGTAACAATCATAATAGAAATCTATCAGGATAGTTCCAGGTCAAACTTTCGCACTTTGATTGATTCATATATATACTGTTATAGCCAACGAAACAGCTAGAACATAACAAGTACAAAGGATTGATACGAATTCTTCGAATTGATGTTACATTCATTTCAAAGCAACAAAAACCTATTTTTTATATCGCACATAACTTCATCTTGGGGATAACATTATTTTATCCATTTTGACAATAAAAAATGTGACTTTCAAATAAGTAATCTAATGCAAATAGGTAAAAATACCAGATGTGATCATTTTTAATATGCTTTACATATTAGTGAAGTCATATACAAACACAGTTCGAATCGAAATTTTATTATTCCAATATACGTTGAAGAATGATTAAATTGTATAGAAAAATATAATCATTTTAATTGTTTAATAACATATTGTAACACAGAAAATTGATCGTGCATAAGTAAATCTATTGAAAGTTAATCATAAAGAATGATTATACTTATCAATTTAAATGAACACACGCTTTTACACGCAAAAATTTTTGCTTTAAACATCTAACCGATATTTAGTCAAATTAAAAATATTATTTTTTATTGTATTTATTACAGTAAATCATAAATAACGAAGCAACAAACTATGTAAACTTTCAAATACATATTCGTCATAACCGCCTCTTAGTACATTAAAATTGTCTAGACATTACTGAAAGCAATTTAAACATTATTTCAATATCCTATTAAGATAAATATAAGTTTGATCTATTCGTTTTGACATGAATGTAACGCAATACAAAGCTAAATATTAAATTATCCAATCAATTTCGTTTACATGTTAAACTAGAATTTGAATAAACCCTCGATTAATGAATAACTTTCGAATGAATACAGAAAACACAAGGAATATATGTTTGTTATCATCAGATAGAATAACATTCTAACGTTTAGATAACATCTCGATCGATAATAAACACAAAGAATAAATATAAGTCATGCCGATATATGTGAATTATCTGGAGGAATATAAAAGCACCGGTTCTATATACATATCGTTTCACTCTTCTAAAAAAAAACAGAATTCGTTTAGATTACATACAAATCATGTACCGCGTATGTGAATAAATACGATAACTTGTTTAAGTAAATTGTTGATTTTATATTTTCAGGCATGTTTATTTCTTGTTTGTTTGGCTTTTTGCTCAGCACTTCCAAATGGTATGTATGAAAAAAAGTATTTAGATTATGTAAAATGTAATATTGTTTTATTTAGATTGGAGTGGAATGAGACCAACCACGTATGAATATTAGCTTTAATTTAGTGTGTTATATGTATATAATTTGATTTTTATAGTTTTTTATCAAGAGATGATTCTGAAGTCGTCGATAATGCAGGTGCTGGTTATTCATATTTCAAAAAACAAGATATCGAACTTCGACCATCAGCTAAATCAATCATTACACTTCCAAGTCAAGATATGTCTGAATATGCAGATTCAAGTGCATTAAAAGCAGAACCATCACAAACACGATTCGTTAGTATTCATACCGATTAATTTTGTAAATAAATCAATTTTATCTTTAGGTTCAAACTGTTTTACCAAAAACTGAATTCATTCGACAACCAGTTTTTACTCAAAAAGATCTTACACAAATACGTACACCAGCCTTTACTGGATACACTGGCCGACAATCCGATCTTTTAACCCAATCGACATATGGGTAAATTTTCATTTAAAATATATTTTTCAACATATCTTTTTCGTTTTCCTATTTATAGTAGTCAACAACAAGATTTAAGAACACTCAGTTCAAATCAAATTCTTCTTCCACGAGTATAAATTTACCTTTATTGTTAGAAATACTAATTCTTTTTTTCTAGACAACATTAACTGCTCAACCAAGCACATTCTCTGGTTATAGTGGTAGCCAACAAATTCGTTCATTCCCTGAAACATCACAATGGAGGTATGATATTGTTTAGAATAGTTAGCTATTCAACACTGGATATAATTCATCATCTTAATACTATTTGTTTTTTGTTATAGTGGTTCACAATCAACTATTTCAAAACCATTCGTTAATACCGAATTTATCTCATCTCCATCTCGACGAGTTCTTGCTAAATCTCAAACAGGATCTACTACTGCTGGCTGGTAAAAAAAAACTTAACTAATGCTTTGCATTTTTTCGTTTTTATCATCGTTTTTTTTTCAAACATTGTTTGTTTGTTTTTATGATTTTATTGATCACATTAAAGATATATATATATATATATAAGAAAAAAAAGAATTCAAATTTTTTCGTTTCTATTAAACGATAACTATAGAAAAATACAACAAAAGAAATGAAGAATTGAGAAAAAGAAAATGTTTTATTTGATATTTCAATCTCAAAAATGATGTTCATTTATCATATTTTCTGCTATATCAAAACCTAAACGATGAAATGTTTGTTGAAGATTTTCACCTTGAATGAAAATAAAGAAGCATTTTTGTAAATAAATTAAATAGAATTTCGAAATTTAATACCTGAATTCATATAAAATGGAGTTACATTTTCTTCAATTAATACATCATCATCTTGAACAGTTTCAATCGGTGAAGAAATAACTTCTTGTTGTTCTTGTTGATTATTATCATCAAGTTGTTCATCATCTGGTTCCTCATTATTTTTCATTATTGTTTCATAATCTGTTGTACCTGTAGCAACACTGTTAGTTAATGATTTGAGAAATGATGATGGTGGATTCTAATTATAAAAAGAGCTAGATTGAAAAAGTAGAAACAAAATATTATTTTACAAGATCTTCAAGAACACCAGCAGCTCGAGCTTGTTGAACAACACTCGTTGGATCACATAATAGTTCACCAAAACGATCTGTATATGCTTGAGGATCTTCACGAACAACATTTTGTTTTTGAAAATGACGTTCAATTTTTGCATGAACTGGTTCATAACTATAAATAGAATCTAGTTTTTTTTGTTGCTTTTAAATCAATTAAAAAACATACGTTATTATAACATTTTTTGGTTGTGGATAATCTTTAGAACTTTTTTGTACACGTTCTACGACAACTTTACGTTTTTGATTGACTATTTCATAAGGTAACCAACGTTCAATGATAATATCACGTGGTTTTGGTGGTAAAGGTGGTAAACGTTCAATAATAACAGCTCGTGGTGGAGCTGGTTCAGGTGGTAAATGTCTTAAGAAAGCGATTTTTTTATTATAAAAATAAATATGTGATGGTGTATTATTTACCTAGTTATAACTTTTGTTGCAAGTGTTGATGGAAGTGCAGGTGGTTTTTCACGAATAATAAGTGGTGGTGGAGTTTTTGGTGGTGGTGGTCGTTCTGAAAATAAAATAGATTGAAATAAAACAAAAAAGAGATTATGCTAAATTATTTTACGTTTAATAACGAGCGGTGGTAGTGGTGGTTGTTGTGGGCCACTTATCTAATGAAGAATATTGAATTAATTAATGATAAATTATGAAAAAACAAAAAATTTACTTCTTTAATAACAAGTGGACCAGCATTAGGAATAGGTGGTGGTTGTAAAAAGCGAACAATTATATTCTGTTTATATGTTACAGAATTAGAACCCTTACGTTGAATTATTTGAGGATGTGGATCATAAAAAATACGACCAGCTGATGCTAAAAAAAGGATATATTCCAACAATGAAATTTTAAATAAGAAGAAAAGAAATTATGTATTACATATATGTGGTGGATCCATTTCATCATTATTATTTGGTGGTAATGAACTAGTATCATCTTTATCAGCTAATAAATCCATTGTTGCTGTATCTGTTGTTTCATTTGGAACAATTTCATCGCCTGCTTCACTTGAATTGACTGGTACAGAATCTAATGGTGGTGTTGTACGTAGATTTAAACCAAGATTAGGTATGGCTGCTGTTATTTTTGGTGGTATGGTTGGATATTCTTGATGACGATGATGTTCTAACATTATTTCATTATTTATTGATGAAACACTTGATGCTGAACGTATGCCATTATTTGTATTATTATTATTCGTATTTAACATACTATTTTTATAATTTTCATATGGTGATAAGATACTTCGTGCCATTGTATCATATAAAGTTGAATTATAAAGTTCAAAATTATTTGGCGTCGCTATTGGTACAATAGAATCCATGGAATTGATTTCAATATTTTGATCAAAATTTGTCATACTATCCAGACTAAACATATCCGGCGTTGGATAGAAAAGTGGTACCTGTTGTTGTTGTTGCTGTTGCTGCTGTTGTTGTTGTTGTTGCTGATGTTGCTGTTGTTGCTGATTAAAATATTCTGTTTTCGATGATGGCATCTGTGTGTGAGACTTTGATGATGGTTCAGGAATATAATTACCTGCTAATCCAAAGACTCCACCAGTTGCTGCTTTATTTACTTCATCAAGAATACGTTGAATTGTTGGATCTTCTAATATAGCCATGTTAGAAGTTTAAATGTTCGAATGTTGCTTACGATGAGAAGATGACGCGTGTAATAACTTTTACTACGTACTTCTTTCTTTATGATATTTCTCACACGCAAAAATGAACCGATATAAATATATATGGACGCAACGCATCATTCAAACAACTAACCAATGGACCGTGATAGATGCGTGCTCAATAGAAGGTGACAAACTTCTTCCTTACGTTGCCTATTAAATGGGCAATGGTCCACGCCTATCGTCAATTCACAATATATTTTTTTGATGATAAACGTGGACAGTAAGCGTATCTTTTTTCTCTTTCTTTCGAGTCAATCTAATGATAAGTAACATTAACCTAGGCTTCTTCCCGCTCATCTATAGATGGTCTTGTCAGCTTCGATTTATCATACCCAGTTTACATTAGAGAAATGCGTATATACATCTACATATACACACATATTAGATACGAGAAGACATCTGAAGATACTTGTTTTATTTTTTCCTCATACAAAAGTAATACAATCGATATGGATATCTATTCAAAATAAAACGTTTACTTCAATGCGTTCTTTTTATTTTAATATATCTATATATGAAGTAATGTACGAAAATAGCTAAAAAAGATGTTATAAAGAAATTGATGTTGAAAAAGATAATCTACACATTTTGCGTAATATGAATATTTTCGTTCATCAAAAATTCGAAAACAAAAATTGAAATTTAAGTTTAATAGTCAACCATAAAAAAAAGAAGAACATATGCGCACTCAAAGAAAATGTTCTATTTGTGTGATTGTATCATTCATTTCAATAAATTCAATATGACGATCGAATCATTTAATGACATAGTTGTTTGCATAGTAGTGATTAAAATTTGAATATTATAATTATATTTTATTAATTAATTCGAATTTAATTTTCAAACAACAACAAAACAAAAAGAATCTTTAAATAAAACAAATTATTCTCTAATAAACTAATCATATATAAATAATAAGTAGGTAACAATTACTTTCGATAATATCAATAAACTCTTATCGAATTCGGTCATCTTCAATTATAAAGAATAACAAAAAAAAAATGAAGTCAATTTTATACTTATTTAAATGCTTAGAAAAATAAATGAAGTAGTAATAAACTATTAATGATATAAATGTATCATTCGTTATATTCTTAATCAATAATAGAATACATTAATTGATTAACTATTTGATATTATTTACATCAAAATAAAGATCTAAAGATTTTAGAGTTGATAACATATATAGATATGTATATATACATATTGAAATGAAGAGATTCAATCGAAATAGGACAATTACTTATTTTGATGGTTTATCATTATCAATTAGGTCAAATCAATACGAATAATAACAATATTGCTAACATATCTAATATTATCGATATTTCTAATTACTATATCAATACTAATTGTAAAAAAATCTAGTACTATATCTTGAATTTTTTTACATTCATTAGATATTTAGTCATTAGATTATGCAATAAAAAAATGTAAGTTATTTTATTTTTTCTCAATTGAACAACAGATGAAATAATTATATCGAGAATATTCTCTCGTTTAAAATATCGTTTCTTTTTATCTTTATAACATCTAAAATTTGATGATGTAATAAAGATTACTATCAAAACTATTCTCCTACAATAGTTATATCGTACTACTACTAATAGTTTGAAAGAACGATAATCAATAATTGTTCGAAAGAAACAAAACTTGTTAACAAATCGATATCATACGAAAAAAAAAGATTGAATCTCCGACAGACTACTCCCAGTTACATATATGATTGATTATTGTATTAGATAATTTCGAAATGATAAAATAAAACAACAAATTATAATTATTGTCGACAGACATCATTAAATCTTGAAATGAATATACAATTATCTCTAATGAAATAATGTTCTAAAGGATACTTAATGATATCGTCTATAGATGATTATATATTATAAACTATGATGAGAAATATCAACTAACACACATTGTTAAGAATTTAAAAAGTTTATCACATGAACAAAAAAAATGGTCAGAAGCTTATTATTTCGAGAAACTGTTACGTTCAATATGTTGAATAATATAAACAATTCAAATATTACTCTAACGCTTCTCTTTCCCACGACTAATTCTCATGATGTATAACTAAAATTTTGTCTAGAGAATACAGATCTATTATGTATACTTCATGTAACCGATTTCTGGTCTTCTCATCATCAGACGATCGAAGGACATAGTTCATGCACGATTACTCAAGCGGAGGACCACCTTAACAATTCTTATTCTCTTGCAGCACACATAGGTTCATCTTTCGATTATTCCTACTTGAAATCTATCATAAGAGACCAGGTTCAAATCGACAACTATATTTATTATTTTTTAAATTATATCTGATATAATTCAATCAATAATAAATGCGTGACAAATGCGTATGAGTTTTGTATATAAAAAATTAATCAAAATTAGAAGATAATAAATATCAATGTAGTAAATTTCGACATCAAAATAATAGAATAATTTTATTTATCTTTAATGATGATTTACTTTCAAAATAATTCATTCACATTTAGAGAAAGAAAAAAACGTTTTCGTTAAACAATTAAATTGCCGATGAACAATATTCACACTTTTATCATCATTCAATCTTTTGTATGAATGAACATATCACAAAGTTAATCAAAGCAAGTTAATGGTAAATTCTAGCGTTATGTGAATGATATATTCATTATCACAAAGATCATGAACACGATAAAAATTAAATTGTATGTTACTGATATAATTTCATTTGAACGAAGAATTGACACAGGAACATTGAGAAATAAAGAACTCATAGAATATAGTTATTAATAGAGATTATCATTATATATTTAACAAAATAATCTAATTAAGACAATCAAGAACAAAAACGAAAATCGATTAACTAATATAAAATGGTGTTCAAACTTTAATTCAAATAGGGACAATAACAATGTGATTAATCTTTCTATATATAATAGAAAAAGTTAAGTAAGTAAGCTCAAAAATAATCTTGTCTTCTCATCGTAAATGGCAGTAATGCATAATCATAGAGAATTCATAACTAATAATGAGTCTAGACAAAAAAAGAGGAATCAAATGGAATATTAAGTTTTCATAAACAAAATAAATTTGTGCGGAGTAAAATATTTATAGTAGTATGAACGAGAAAACAATGGACTTCACAAGACTTCATGCATGAAGTCTCCGCTGTTTTCCCTGGATCAAAATATGAAAAGAAGTGTTTCATCTTCTGCTATATACAGTGCTTTATCAAGGTTTTTCCTTTCGAGAGTGCGATAGCGATTTCCGGGAGGGCGAAAGTCTAATTTTTTAAGGGCAAATACATAGTATAGGCACAAAAATTGCAATTTTCGAGAGGGCAAAATCGTTCTCTGGAAGGGCGATGCCCTTTCGCTGGATAAATCATTGGCTGTATACTTAATGACAAATATTTTCCTAAGATTATACTACAAAAAGTAATTTCTTAAACTATGCAGACTTCCAGCAATGATCAAATCTTGTATTAAGTATAAATGCGAGTTTTCAATCAAAAAAGAAAAGGACATTTCAGTCGAATTTATTTAATACAAGAACATACAATAGTAAAATAGGTCATGTGGAATTCCTTCGTTTTAAAATAATAATAGAATATTTCTTCAGTATTTTTGTAACTCTTTTAACATATTTGAAAACTACTATGATAAAACCAAATTTATTGTCACGTTTAGATGTTTACTAGATAAAGCTAATGTATTACGACTGATGGATAATATATGAACAAAAAAAAATATGTATTTTAAGTCGAAAAAAATTAAAAAATGAACTGTTTTTGTTTTTCTGTGATTAAAAATAATTAACATAAGATAGAAATAAATAATTTAAGTTGATACAGGTTGATCGATATTATCGAACATATTTAGTAATTTCATAATTAATAATTTTATATTTTTGGTTGCATCACCAGCATCAGGTAGATAGACTTTGTCACAATCAATTGAAGTTTTTGTTCTTGGTTTCACTTTTGTTTTTGACTTGCCTTTTTGTTGTAGTTGCTGTTGTTCTTCTTCCTCTTCTTCATCTTCAGGTGTTGAATAACGAAATGTAATTATTTCAGGAAAAGTTTTTTTGCTGGTTATTTTTGTTACTGTTTGTAATGGATGACGTGAGACAAGATTTGCCATTGTTTTTTGTTCAGGTAATCTTCGTAAGATATACAAATCTGTTGCCGATACCAACAGAAGACTAAAAATAAAATACATTATACTAAATTCAATTTTACAGAATTTATAACTAAAACAAAAAATAATTATCATTAAAGTTCTTCGTATTAGAAGTGTAAAGTATGTTGATATATGATACAGACGTTATACTCTACAAATACAGGAATTACTAAAAATTTCGCTCACTCTCTTGGATTTCGAAGATTTTAAACTAGCTAGTATGAATAGAACAAAAGGAAAAGAGTGGAATCTGGAATCCTCGGGAATCCGGATACCGCCCCTGAAATAGAGGTCTTCATCATACGAGTAATTTCAAGTGGGTTCGCAATAATCATTAGTTCAATAATGTAAGATGACCGATCGATTATCTTACACGTGGGTAATCTCCGAATTATGAGTCATTTTTACAGAACTACAAAAAACTTTTCGATCTTAAGCAAAGTAGACTGAATTATTAGGGATGCGCAGTTTTAATAAACTGTGCACTGTCAGCACCGACAGAGACGCACCTTCAACACTGACAGTGCGCTCACTGATGCAGTGGAACTACCCGGATACCGACGAATACCGACGGTGCCAGGTGGATTCACAGCATCAGTGAACCCAGTGTCAGTATTGTCAGTGCTACTGTACGTCACTCTCAGGGCTGAAAGTAACAGTTTTTCAGTATTTGCACTGAAACTGCGAATCCCTACTGAATTATGGAAAGAAAATAATATTGAATAATTTTAAAAACTCTCTGTAGATTGAGATTGATTACCTTGGATGACGTCGATTCTGTTCATCGATATGTTCACATTCATATTTATATAACATATCACTACGGAGAAAATATGATTCCATATCAACAAGTTCATGTGCATCTTTTGGTTTTGATGATGATGTTGATTCTAATACAAAAAAGACGATGAACAATTAAGAAAAAACAAAACTTATAAATTATATTCATACCGTCCTCATTATCACTATCAAGTGAAAAAACTGATGATGCATTTGTTTGTCTATATAGTTTATCGACTTTATCTTGTTTATTTACGTGTCTATTTCATTAGAAGAAAACAAAACAAAAATAAGGTAAGTAAAATATTTCATAACTAACTTAGGGGCTGGATTAGCCGAGTCATTTCCTGATGTATGAACTATATAATCTTTAACTTTATCTTTGACTTCTACAGATTTAGTTTTAACAGCACTTGAAATCATATTGATAAATGAAGCAGTCTATTACGAAAAATAAAAGTATTTCTTCTAGATTTTTATTAAATTTACTTGAGTATTAATAGTAGGAAGTTTTTCTGCAATATTTTGTTTAATTGCTGATCCAAGAGCGAACGCATCTTGTACTGCTGTAGTTGGTGGTGGAGGTGTTGTTGGAGTTTTATTTTTTTTGCCTCTAGTTATCATTGATGGATCTTCAACAGCGTCTTTAAGAGCTAATCAAATTAAATATAATAAGGAGAAATTACAATCGAATTCGAAAATATACCTTTATAACCACCAGAAGCAAGACTAATATATTTAGTATTTCGTTGAAGGAAATGAGCAACAACCATACGAACATATTTATCTGCTTCTTCATTGCCAGAACCCATAAAACATAAATGTTCACCTCCTGCTGTTGATCCTAAATAGAAACAAGATATTTGTATAACAAACGAAGAGAATTAATTTCGTACCAGTTTCAATCGATTGTTTTTGTGTAGCAATAAGTGCATCAACAGTTCCAGCAAATTCTTTCGGATCTTCAAGTAACTAAAACGTAAATATATTTTAGTTTTTTTTTAATTCGATAGAATTTTTATTTTACAAGATTTGCATCAAGATGAAATGCTGTATAAAGATGTCGCGAATTATATTGTTCTGCTGGACGACAATCGACAATAAAATATCTGACACCAGCTGTCTAAAGATAATAATCATTCAACAATAAAAAAAGAAAGAACATTAAAAAAATATAAATGTACTCCGCCCAATTGATTTGCTTGAAGTAATTCTTTTACGGAAACTGGTAAACATAATGCTTGATAAATAGAACAAGCTTTTTGAGATATAGATTGATCGATTTCATCAAATAAACATGAATAAAATTCCTTCGAAAAAAAAACATTTTTTTCATAAATTCTTATCTTGTAATTAATTTACTTTTCGAAATGATTGAGGTGTAGTGGAAGCATAATGATTAGCTAAGGAACAAAAATCTTCCAGATCATCATTAGTTAAATTTGATGGAGCTTTTGAGAGAAATTCTAAATAAATTGAATAAAAAAAAATGAGATTGATAATATTTATTTGAATATTTACCGATAATTTCATTTTTTTCTTTATTAGCCATTTCAAATACTTGTTCCCTAGATATTCATTATAAGAATTTTTTTAGGAATAAATTTTCTTCTTACTTAGCAAACATAAGTAATACAAGTGCAAGAAAAAAAGCAAAAAATTGATCTGCATGTTGAAAATAATGATCCCAGAGAGCAAGTAAAACACTTGATGAACATGATCCAGCATATAGACTTCGAATCTAAATAAAAAAGTTAATTCATATTATATAAAACAAATCAATTCATCATACCCAAACATGTGCATATAGATCTGGTGAGATTTTTCTCGTGTCAAAGAAACTACATAATTCTGGGTCATGGTAAAGTAATAATAATCGGAATAAATGATAAGACATTCCATCAGCTTCACAATAACTTCAAAAGGAAAATTTCGTTATTTTTTTGTTATAAATAAAAATATTTTATACCGAGGAATGTAACGATTACGAATGCTTGCAAATAATGCATAGAGTTCGGCACGATCTTTATATTGTAGTGTAATCAATGGTTTTAATATATCAATCCATCCATTTCCTTTTTCATAACTTTCATTACTAAATAATTCAATAATTTATAAAAAATAAATAAATCTATGAAATATTAATTTACTATTTTTTACAATAAAAAGTAATAACTGCTTCGATATCACTCATTTTTGCGGTTGCAATATCTTGATTTATATCTGATGCACCTAAATAATAATTCATATATAAAATAAAATTAATTTTACTAATTATTCTATACTTACGCACTAAACGTAAAACATCTTCACGTATTATACTTTGTTCAGGTAGATCAAATACATCACTATCACTATAAGCATATTCATTAACATCATTGATATTGAGACAAATCTAAATAATAACAAAAATTTCGCTTAGTTTTCCATGTTGTGAGTAATAATTTTTAGTTTCTTACTTTCCACACAGCTAAACGTAAATCATCCGTTAGTGGACGACATTTTCCAATATTTCTTATTGTACCTAAATCACATCCACGTTCAAGTGCTAATTGCAATTCATTAATCCATTGATTATCATGATTCTTTTCATCTACTGGAAAAACGTCACTATCATTTAAATCCTCTTCAGATTCAGATAATTCTTTATTTTCATCAGACATTATCTAAAACTAAAGAAAGGTAATAATAATAATAATAATAATTTAAAATTTTTGTAATTATCTATTTTTTTATTTCATCATATAAACTGTACAGAATACATAAAATGTACGAGAGATCAAGAATCATCAGCCAAATCAAATTGACGAAATTTATCCAAAGCATAGAATTTTGCTTTTACAACACGACCACCAAAATATCGTCCATTCATATCGACAACAGCTAAAATTTATGAAAACAATTAAAATTTATTATCTTTGCTCAGATATATAAGGCTCTATGATGTGGAATCAGTTTAATCATACCTATCATTTAAATCATCATAGCAAAGACTTTCCTCAATTGGGATTCGAACATGGTATCAAAGATTTATATTAGTTCCTACCCATTCGACTAAATATGAAGACTATTAACTTACCTTTAATAGCAGATTCAACTCGTTTAAATTCAACAAATATTCGTACAGCTTCATCTTCAGGTACGTCAGGAATCTATATATTAGAATAAAAATAAATATTAACAAAAAATTTTGTGGACATACTTCATAGATAAGACATTTTTCAACATCACCATATTTTTGACATTCTTCTTTTGTTTCACCTAAGAAAATCAAAGATTATTTAATGAGAAGATGTATTTTCGAAAATACTTACTATCAAGTAAATCATCAACTTCACCAGGTCCAACCATATTCTAAAAAAATACTGATATGTATCGAAATTTTTTTGAAAAAATTTACTAACTTTAAGTAAAACAACTTTCGTTGCTCCTTTTAATTCAACAGATAAATTAACACCTGATTCAGCTTTTGGAGTAACAATGGAAGGAGGTGGCATCGCTGATAGTGATGGTGGAGGAGGAGGTGGTGGTGGTAAAATGAATTCTAAATGACATGATCAGTTAAGTAAGATTTCATTTAAATATTTTACCTTTAGGTAGTGGTTCTTTTTCATGTATGATTTTACCACCACGTTTACCCGTTTTTTCAACGGTCAATGCTGAACTTATACCTTGTTGAGATTTACCAAGACCTTGTCCTTCTCGATAACCCATTTTAGCCATCATTTTAGCAACAGCAGCTGCACTATAAAACAAATGAAAAAGATATCGATTATCATTTGATTATCGAATACCAAGGAAAGTTTTGTGATTTTTTTAAAATCACAAGCTATCGGCATTAATAAATACCCTTTCGTAGATCCAAACCCAGGATTTGGTCCAGTACTTTCAGTTTCCATATCTTCAATACGTTCATCTGAATTCGACGGAGGAATTGATATATGTTCATCTTTGATATCTATATTTTACAAAAGACTATTTTTTGGTTATTTATTTAGTTTTGATAATTATACCTGATTCATTTTGATTATGAGTACTAGCACGTTTATCTTCTTCTATCAATGAAGGTGGTGGTGCAAAAACATTTCCTTTTCGTATTGGTCGATCATTTAATTCTCGATTAGAAATTTCCGTCTCTTCATTTTCATAATCGTCATCATATAAACCTTTTGGTTGTTGTTGTTGTTGTTCATCTTCATCTCGTCGTTGACGTTCTAATTCTTTATCACGTTGATATTGTTCACGTTTACGTTGTTCTTTTAATTTTTCATAATCATTTGGTTTTAATGGATCATATTCATCTGTATAACCAAATACAGACATATTTGAAGTTATATTTTGAATTAATGCTGTCACTGATGATGATGGTCCACTTGTATCTTGTGGTTGAGAATTACTATCTCGTAATTCCATCTTGAAATAATATAAAATGAAATATTTAACTTGAAAAAAATAAAGAAATTACGAACTTTTCCAGTCATACTATTAAATGTAACTTCAGCATTTGGATGACGTGGCAATGCTGGTGCTCGTTTTTTACGTAGATCAGCTACAGGTGCAACAACATTTTTTGTTGCATCTTTCTAAAGTATATAGATGAATAAAATTTATATAAATTTATAAAATATTTTACTTTAAGTTGCTGCTGTAGATGGAATTTTTTTGCATGTATTGGTCCATGAAGTAATTTAATTGAGTCTGACCAAGCTCCGACTAATTAAATAAAGAATTTATAGATATATATGTTAGCTGTTTAATTATTAACAAACCTTTAGTACCACTGTCTTTGTTGGAATCAAGTAATTCATCATCATAGAGTGACATTTTTTCAGTAACCTATTTGAAAGAGATAGGTTGATGAAAATATTTGAAAGATATGTTAAATATGGAATAGTAGCTGATTGGTGCAAATGTAAAGGAATCGGTTACACACATTTATATCTAGCTATAACTTCTTATAATATAACACTCTTAATCATTTTAATACATATTTCTTATGTTTTTCTTGTCAAAACTATGAAGTTCATATTACATGAAACTTAATAAAATACATTAAAAAAATAAAATCTGTGGCGTCATCTATTAAAAGGATTTTATACATTTTTCAACCAAAAAAGAAACTTCAGATTGATTAATATAAAATCGAATATGATGCAAAGCTATAGTTGAAATATATTGGATTTTCTACATTAATCCAGATTATTATTCAATTAAAATATTTTTCTTTCTCTATTTTTCGAAAACTTGAGAAGTAGGACAATGAACAATATTTGCAAAACAGAAGGTACGAGATACATAGATATAATGTATATACTATTTTTTTCTTATGAGAAAGTAGAATGATATAGTCTTTACAAATTTTTTAGTATTCAACTTCGACGATATGTAACGTAAGGTTAGATTCATACTGATTATGAACTTTTAATTGGTCATTTTGTTTTATATACGATTTAACAAAGTTTCATTAGAAAAACAAAATAATTTGAAGTTGTTCGATTTTATGTGGTATTGCTGTCTATTGTTGATTCTGAACTATATTCGTTGTTCTAGTCATTATAAGATAGTAATATTGTTCGTATATTTCGATTGTCGTTGATCATTAAAAAATCTATCAGATAAGTCTTGACTGCTTGAAATTCTATATCAATTTTAACCAAGAGAAATTGTCAGTGAAATGGCTACGTTGTAAGTCATAAAATGAAAATATGTTTCTTTGAATATCAAAAGCATATATAACTCTTTCTTAGATATTCTATAATTGATATCTGAAGTAATCAATTTGAAGAAAAGAGTTGTTGTTTATATATTTTATAAAATACAGAATTAACAAAAATAATAATTTTGTCGATTTAAATACAGTGTACAAGTACTTTTAAATTGATACTGATTACGTCGAATTCATATGTATAAAATTTATTCTATATACAGACCTCAGGAATTGAATGATAATATATTTCGAACCGAAATTTTGCCTATACAGAAGCCTGGTAGTAACTAGAATGTTCTTTCCATGCGATATTCAATTCATAAAAATCAACATATGAGGTTCATTTGGAATATAAAAGATTTCAATAAAATTCAATAGTTCGAAATTATCGTCATTTAACTCTTCAGTGCACACAGGACTATAGGCAAAAATTTCAGAAAGACGTCTATAAATATTTGTCCGTGTAAAGTTTTTTATACTTCATTAAAATACATAGTTCAAGCTCAAAGGCGATTTCTCTATAAGAATTTTTTTTTAATTAATTTCACATTGGTATATCGTATTAATTGATATTTAATTTTATTCTTTATCTATTTTTCTATGCGTTATCAAATACGAATCAATATTGTTCTTATGTCACATAAATTTCATATATTATTTTCGACAAATAAATCTAATAAAGCTAATTTCATGCTTAGGAAATATGATTACATTAACAGAGGTTTTAAGACGTATCCAATGATTATATGTACACAGAAATTTCCCATTGGATCACTGTTGTCTACTTAAAATAGCGTATGATTCATTCATTTCATTGAGTCTTTTCTCATAACATATACAGATAATAGAATCAATCGATCAATCACTCATCGTTACAAAACGGTAAGCATCTAAGAAAATTAACTCTTTCTCTAAAGTCAATATTTATTTAAACGTTGTATTTAATATCATTATTGATTTTGTTTTATCTGATTTACGATTATTTATAGTATAAATTTGATTTCAAAACAATATCAGTATATTCTTTTCTTTTTTTTTCTATTTAATAATTGCATAAAAGCAAATGTGCATCGTGTTCGATTACATTTACAGAAGATAGAAGATGTATAGTATATGTTTGTAAAAAAATGTCAGCTACGCATGAAAGAAAACAGACTCCATCAGCTGGTGAAAACAAGTTTTCTTTCCTTTATTGTTTCGTTTTCTTCTTCCTTTTCTATTTCTCTCTCCCACGTCATTCCGTAGCAAAATAATATGAAAAAAAAAACCGTACTCATACTATCTATATACATATACGCATATGTTAGATTATTCTCTATCAAAATAAAAAAATTAACCTGAAAGAATTTATTTTTTCAAAAAAAATGAAGTTAATTAAGATCTCAATCTCTTCTCTCTATGTACGTGTTGAAATCAGTTAATAATTATCTTTTATTTATACATATATGATTATTGTGACGCCTTTTGCATACATAAATACAGAGAAAAAAAATGAAAATATTTCCATCAGTTATTCGTTCTGTTCGTATCGATTCAAGTAATAGACTTATAACATTCATAGTTTTTTTTCCTTTATTCTCATATTTTTTTATTGTCCTTTTACTTTTCTGACATTTGAAATAGTTTCACCTGTACTGTTTTATTTATAATATAAATGCACATATATATCATCAAATTATGAATGCTAATCGTTGCGTGATTAATAAAGCAAAAAAATAAACAAGAAATTTTTACCTATTTTAGATTCATGCAGTTAAATGGATCGATTAATCTTCTGTCTTATTCTAATTATTCCTCTATTCCAATCAAGCCAATCTAATAATAATAATAAGAATATTGCTTATAATATTCCTGATCCAGGTTAGCTTTATTTCTTATAATTATTCTAGTTGTAAATATATTTGTTTTTAGATTGTACTGGCATATTTAATCTATGCACTGATGCTGATAAGGAGCGACTTGGTCGTCAAGCTATAAAATCGATACATGAACAAATGGATGATGATAAAGATGGATTGATTGAAGCATCTGAAAGTCGTGATGTAAAATTTCTTGTTTTAAATTCAGTTGAACTTTTCTAGAAATTATATTTTAGTTTATTCATGAAGAATTACAATCAAAAACTGATTCTGTACGACATCGTCGATTCCAAAAAGCTGATTTACAAATAACATTCGATGATTTATGGACACAATGGAAAAATAATCCAGGTTTATTTATATATTTGATTTGTCTAATAAAATTAAATATTATATTTATTCTAAGTTTATAATTGGAGTAATGATGATGTTATTAATTGGGTTGCTAATCATGTTCATCTATCAATTTATGTTGAATATTTTCGTCGAAATCAAATTGATGGCCGAATGATTCCAAGGTTAATTTTTCTTCGAACTTTATTTATCTTTATTATTTGTCTCTTCTCTTGTTGTTTTAGATTAGCAGCGAATGATAAACAGTATCTTTCAACAATTATGCAAATACGTGATCTGAGACATAGACGACGTTTAATTATCAAAGCTACAGATATTGTTTTATTTGGCCCACCGCAACGTATATGATCTACTCATGTGATTTTTTTAAATAAATATTTTTTAATTTATTATTTTAGGTACTCATAATTTTGTAAAAGATGCGATTTTAATATCTGCATTGCTGATATCGATTGGTGCTTGTTTATATGCTTTTATACGGCACCGTAAAACGCAAGAAAGTATGAATATGATGATAAAAGAACTTGAAAATTTACAGCAAGCTGAAGGTGATTTAATTTCTGTAACTGGAAAGTATGAAATAATTACAATATATGTTATTTCATTTTTAAAATAAAACATTTTCCTATCTATATAGAGTAAAAGCGATGGAAAATGAATTACAAGATAAAACAAAAGTTGATCGAGGATTATTAAATTCTTGGTTTATTGAAGTACAACGAACTAAAGTAAAGAATATATTTGATTCAATTGAAAAATTCATTTTTTATTATTTCTTAGGAAGAAGCTGAAAAATTTCGAAAACGTCGTGATACAACAGTTGAATATGATAAACAAGTTCGTTTAGCGGTGCAAGAAATTGAACAAGTAATAATCATTTGACAAAAAACCTAGTCTTTATTTTTATCTATAATTAGTTACGTATTGCATTACGTAAAGCAGAAGAACATGCTCGACATCAATCCTATGAAGCACCACCAGAATTAATTGATCTACTCAAACGTACTTATCATATTGAAGAAGCAGCTTTTGAAACAAAACGTAAATTAGCTGAAAATGCAATGTTAACAGCTAAAGAACAGGTAAAATCACATTCTTTTTAAATTACAAAAAAAAAATAACGATCCTTCTTAGATGAATAAAATTTCCAAAATGCAAAAAGGTTTTTTTGGTGCTGTACGTATAGCTCATACAGGTTGTATGGATAATATTGGTGAATTAATCAACGCAGCTAAGTAAGCATTTTATTTATTTAATCGAAATTTTATTTTTTTTTGTTTAATAGGGAACGATTAGCAGAAATTCATGATGAATATGAAGAACGTGAAAAACGTTGGAATAGAATTGCGTCATTACTCGATCGAGAAGATTTAGTCGGTACAACAACTGGTAATTAATATAGACTATCAAAAGAAATAAATAATTATTATATTTAGATTCAACTAATCGTCCAAAACAAATATCGCCTGATTCAATTAGTTTAATAAATACAAACAACGAGCCAATATTGATTAATAAAACAAACAGGTATGAAATAAGTAATTTTATTCGAAACATATTTTTTCTACTATCGAAAAAAAGAAAATACGCACCTGAAATAATACAAATGTGAAAATAAAACATATGACAACGATAGTAGGCGTTTAATATTTTCCTTTTCTAAGTCCATAATTATCATAAAGAATCTAATGTAAATAAATATTGATATGATCGATTGTTTTTGACAGGAAAAAATACGTTGATTATTATTTTTGAAAATAGATCTAAATATTCTCTTTCTCGTAGAGAAGAGTCCAGTAAACATAAATTGTTTGGTTGCTTGCTTGTGTGTTCACCGGTTCGAAAAAAACGTCGAAGCCCAATTTTCCGGAAAAGACATTTTTTGAGGTATTTTGATGCGAGGACTTCGAATCTGAGGTCTATTGGATGATCATGATGAGGGCGGTGAGTGAAGTGGGTGCAAAGGTTAAAAAACATCGAAAATCGATTTTTCACGGTTTTCAATTGTTTTTCTAGTAAATGTGAAGAGGAAGAATTTCTACGAGAAAGAGCTAAGCGAGTCCTCGGACGAGCGTTACTTTTGTTATGTAATACGTACTTAATATTAAAATGATTATTTTTCAATTGCTTTTAGTACTTTAACTGCTCGTGGAGTATCAGTAAATTCATTACTTCCAACTCAAATATCACAGCCAGATACAATAAGTCAATCTGACAGTGGTATTGAACAAACAAATTCACCATCAGCAACGTTAAAACGACGTGCAATTATGAATAATAATCGTTCGTCAAATGAACGTCTTTCGAATCATCCACCAATGTCATATTCTTATTCAACTAATGGTCTTCTGAATTCTCATATAACTCCTCCATCAATTGATAGACAAAGTACTTATGAAATAATTGATAATCCGTCATTATCAAAACAAACCAAATCATTATTTGAAGGTGTATCTGATGTTCATACCGATAATAATGATTCTTTATCCGATGATCAACAATTACAACAACAATATGATAAAAATTCTCTGAATGTAGATTCATCAAATGATGAGGGTCTTTCATCATCTTCTCCTGAGAAAATACGAAAACCAATGATATCTTCAAAACTTTTTAAACCATTTCAAAATATACGTTTTAGAAAAAAGAATATTAGTTCATAATATTCTTTTGTTTTGTCTGTCTCTCTCTCTCTCTCTTAGTCGGTGCTTGTTTATCAATCTCAATACATCTGCTATCTTTTTTTTTTTCTAATATAATAATAATTATTATTATTGTTCCAGCTCTTTATAACATACTTATTCCTAGCTGTTTCTTCGTTCTTGTTTAATCTTTTGCTTGTAAAATTTTATTTATCTGGTAAAATGTTTTTTTTTTCTTTCTTTGAATGTATTATAATAAGAATGAATAGAGAATATAATCATGGTAGAATGATATTCGTTTCCATTTCTTATTGTAGATTGAGATGACGTTAAGATTAACTAGGCGTTTCGTCCATCAATTATTTATACGACGCTATGCATCAAAAGATTCTTCAATAACAACAACAACAACAACGGATTCAAATAAAGACTTAACAACAGAAAAATCATCTGAAATCTCTACAGTAAAACGTGCATTTACATTAATTAATCCAAAAACGGTACATGAAATCAAACGAATTGATGATACACCTATTAAAAATGAAATGGATCTAATCCGTCATCGATTAACAGAAAATCGTGAGTGTTATTAATAGTACAAACAATTAGAGTATTTCTCTATTATAACTAAATAGACGTATTTTGTATATTATCATTTCATCACCTAATTTATTATAATGAAGAAAAAAATAAGGCACTATGAAAAATTCTATAGTTGACAGACAAAATACGTTTGTTATGAAATAAATACGTTTATCGATCTCTATGACATGTTGACATAATTAGACCCTGGAAAATTTATTAAAAATAATTACATAGTCTGCACGAGGGTCTAAATGCGAAGTGGGCGAAACTTTATACATTGTAGTACAATATATACGTTTGATAGTATCAATCGAAGGATTGATAACTGTTGCTAAGATACACGAGTACACATTAGAGAGGAGCGGGCCCACGTTTTTTTGAACCCGGACCTATGAAAGAAAGAATTTATTAGACCCGTAACCGACCCAGACCCGGATTCGTTTTACAAATATAGAGCACCCTCTGTGTGCAAGGAAATGTAAAAGATTGAAGTGGTGGCTACTTTTAGTTGGCTACAAGCAGAAAAAATGTATATAAAATTCTTTTTGTTCATTCATATCGTATCACTATCTACCGATGCTTCAGAAATTTAAATTTTTCATCTAATTTGAAATGATCTAAATTTGAAAGTAAACAGAAATCGGGTCTGGATCGATTCGCAGCTCCCTAGTATACATATACAGAATTTGAAATAAATGAAGAGTTTCATTCTTAACAAATCGAGCGGAAGACAAGATATAAGTATATCTGCAAACGTAATTTTTTAAATTTTTCGAAGGCTTTTATTTCTAAGAAATTTCGTATTTTTAGGTGTTAAAAACATTCCAATAGAAACTGATGTTCTTATTATTGGTGTATGTATTTTGTAATAGTTACTTCCTTTTAACATAATTCTCTAAATATAGGGTGCTATTATGGGTTCAAGTATAGCTTATTTTCTTAAACAACGTTCACCTGATATGAAAGTAACTGTGCTCGAACGTGATTGGAATGTAAGAGAAATATTAAAAATTATTTCTTGAATTCTATAGTCATATTTTAGTATACAACATCAAGTACAGTTCTTTCTGCCGGTGGTTTACGTCAACAATTTGCACTTGTAAATATTCATTTTATATGGAATAATTTAGAAAAAGAATTTATTTCTAGGAAGAAAATATTCAAATGTCTGTTTATGGTGCTGAATTTTTAAAACATATTCGTGATCATTTATCAATACTTGGTAAATTATATTAGTTTTTTTTAGTCTTTTTTTTTAATAATTATCATTCTTTCAGATGAAGATCCTGTACCCGTTTCATTTCATCATAATGGTTATTTATTATGTGGTAGCGAACAAAGTGTGAAGCTTTTCGAAGAAAATCATAAAACTCAAACGTATAAATATTTTTTATTTGATTTTGATTTTTTTTCTTATATTGATATAGTTTAGTTCACTGGGAGCAAAATCAAAATTATTGACAGCAAGTATGCTTAAAGAAAAATTTCCTTGGTTAAATACAGATGGTATTGCAATTGGTTGTTATGGTAAGAATTCGATAATATTTCAATGAATTTACATTTGTTGGATTTTTGTTAGGTATTCAAAATGAAGGTTGGTTAGATCCATGGGCTTTGTTAAATGCTTTCCGACAAAAAGCATTATCACTTGGTGTTCTATATCTCAATGGTTTGTTCATATAAATCAACTATTTGATGATATGTGTTTGTTTTAAATTCATAGCGGAACTTGTTGGTTTTGATAAATCAAAAAGAGTATGGGCTGATGGAACAATAGAAAATCAATTGGATAAAGCTTTAGTAAGTTAATTCTATATCAGTTATATAGGAAACCGTAGATAATTGATAGGGTGCCTGTTAACGGTAGAAGAAATAGGGGTCGTGCCATTAAAGCCGTTTCTTAAACATTTCTCCTATTAGTGAGTTAAAAATCTTGACTAAATACGTTTGAAATAATAGTTCAATTTACAATTCTTTCGTTTATGATAATATCTTCAAAATGAGTTTCGCTATTTTAAACTCGTTTTATTCAAAATTAAACATGAAAAGAAAAGGGGACAAATATATTATTTATCTATATCTGTAATTAATGATTTTACAAAGTCATGAAAAACGAAAAATATCATCATTATCGAAATCATATTTTGACCTAGCTAAAAAAAACTATGCATAATTTTTTAAAAGATTCATTTCTAATGTAATGTAATCATAACGATGCTTTTATATTGTGAATATGTATCAAATTTTTTACCAATAAGATTTAATCACTTATGTATGTATTGCAAAGCAGAACAAGAAAAGAAATACGCATTTAACTTTACAAATATATATTTACATGGTCATTTTTCTCTCATAGATATTTAGGTACAAACCTGTCTTTATCGATAGATAGATTGATAAGCAACTTCCGTTTAAAATAAATCATAATTTATCAGATCAAAGATTAATCAGTTTCTATAGACAATAGTGTTCATATTCATAGAATCGTTCTCTCATTTTGTGAACTATGACATCACTTCCTAATTGATCAAAATCTATTTAGATTCTTTCTGCAGATAATAATAGAATATATCCAATGGATTCATCATTCTTTATCAATGCTGCTGGTCCTTGGGCTGGTGAAGTAGCTAAAATGGCTGGTATTGGTGTTGCTGGTGAATATCCAGTTGCATTACCTGTTGAACCAAGGTAAAAATTTTACATTTATCTTCTTTTTTTTTATATACATTTTTATTAAATTTTTTCTGAGAATAATAATTCTACGATCGCTCAACACTTTCAGTCATACTCTCATTAATATAACTATTTGCAGCATAGTCATTATCTTCAACAGATGCCAGATTTCTGGTTAATTTATCGATACTTTGTCGTTCAATTACCCATTTCCAAAAAGCTGAACTATCTGAATTATCAAGAGTAAAACCATAACGTTCAAAATAATGTCGTGATTGTGGTCCATTTGTATGTACTGTTAAACGACTAGCACCAGCTTGTCGAGCAAATTGTTCTACACATTCAAGCATAGCTGTACCAATACCATTATTTCTATAACCACTTTTAACTCCAATCATTTCAATATAACATTCTTCCATATGTGTTGGAATATAATTTGCTTTTTGTATAAACCATCGACGTATTGATGATAAACATGAATTTTGTTGTAGAATTTGTGATGCTTGTGATATAGTTGGTGTTTCATCAGGAAATGCCATTGTTATTGCAGCTAAAACTTCACCATTCATTTTTCCAAGAAGAACATTTTGAAATTCACGTGCATTTGGATTTGTATCTAATAATAGAAATCGAAATCGAAAAAAATCAAGTTTTTCATATATCTTTTACTTATTCGATTTTTCATTGCTATTCGAAATTGTTGTATTTGTTCATCTTGTCCAATATAATGTCTTAAACGACTATGAAGTGTTTCAAAATAAATATCTAGATAAGCATCAATATCAGCTAAACTAAATTGATGAATTTCGATAATATCATTTTCTCCACCTGTTGTATACGATGAAACCATTGTACTATCACCACCAACTGTTAATTGACTTGGTCGTTCTGATATATATTTATTATCTCGTTCATCATCTTCATCTTGAATACTTGTTACTTCAAATTGATTATATTTTCTTGAACGATCCGTATTTGATGAAACTCGTTCATTTAATTGTCCTGAACGACCCGTATTTGTTGAAACTCGTTCATTTAATTGTCCTGAACGAGTATTTGTTTCTAAAACTGCTGGTTGATCAAATTTTCGACTTGAAACACTTCCATTTTCTATACCACCAATTGAATCAATTGGACGAAGTGGAGCTCGTGGATCACGTTTAATTGAATTAATTGATGTCATTGTATCATTTTCAGTACTTCTCTCACTTATTGCTGCTAAAGGGAAACCGTCAGTATCCATTAATAGCAACACATTCAGATTTAAGACCGATTAGGACGCCAAATGACCCTGAAGAGAAAATTTTTTTTTTCTTTCTCTCAATAAACAGAAGGACTACGATTGATGAAAAAAAAGTACAAAAAAAATTGTATGTAACAAGCAAAAGTAGAACCGTTGAAGCGTAACATCATTTTCCTGACTATACCACACTATTCTGTTCTGTGTACTAAGAAAAAAGACGATGAAACTGATTGATTTGTCCTTTTTCGGTGTCTTACTAATGTTATCATTTGTTTACTATATATCTAATGTATATCTTCAATGCTTTATTCATACGAATAGAAATACAATGAATTTTATATATCAAATAAAATATTAATCACAATATATTTCCTATTACTCAAAAACATGACTATATTGATGAGTGATAGAATTTAATATAATTCAATCGTTTATATTTTCGTTTTAGAAAACGTTACATATTTGTTTTTGAATCATTGAATGGACCTGGTCCATTAGCTCCATTATTTGTTGATGTATCCGGTGTTTACTTTCGACCAGAAGGTTTAAATAATACATATATATGTGGATGTAGCCCGAGTGAAGTAAATAAAAGAAAATATTCATTATATTCAGATTCCGTTTAATTTTTTATTTTTTAGGATAATGACAAATCTGAAAATAATCTCGAAGTAGATTATTCCGTATTTGAAGAACAAATATGGCCAGTATTGGCTAGCCGTATACCAAGTTTTGAAACTTTAAAAGTATAATAAATTTTATTCATTGATTTTTAAATACGAGTAAAAGATTTACATCATGATAGGACATATATACAAATACGTATCAAAATTTTTGCGTTAAAGACTATAATCAAAATATTAGATCTTTTGATAAAAACTAAAAGCTATTTTAAGTATAGTATAAAGATATTCTCAACGTGAAGTTGATACTGTTTTTTTTATCTACAAGGCGTATTTCTTTCATAATTATTTGTTTGAATATTTTTAGCTCAAAAGTGCTTGGTGTGGTTTTTATGATTATAATTATTTTGATCAAAAGTAATATATTATTTTTTTGAAATATTTGAAATATTTATTTTAATATTTTTCAAGTCTTATCATTGGTCCACATCCTCAACAAAAGAATTTCTTTTTTGCTAATGGTTCAAGTGGACATGGTTTACAACATGGACCTGCTATCGGTCGAGCTCTATCTGAATATTTAGTTGATCTTAAATATCAATCAATTGATTTAACACGTTTTGGTTTTCAACGTGTTGTTAATAATACTCCAATATTTGAGCCTATGATTGTTTAGAAAAACTCAACAATAAAAATCTATTTTATATTTTTGAAATCATCTTTTCTTTTTTTCATGATCGTAATTGCACGAGAAAAGAAATATAAATTTTATTTATCTAATAGCATTCAAACAATACATCAACAACAATAAGTTTTTGTTTTTTGTACAAAAAGAAAAATGAGATGAATAATATTCGAGCGATCATCACATTTATGAGTGTTTTCTACAAAAGAACAGAAACAGAACACTAAAATAACTCCCTTTGATGTCATATAAAAAAAAAGAAAAACAATAGATGAAATTTTTATCAGAAGATTTTTATTGACTAGTTGTTGTTGTTGCACTTGATACAACTTCGATCCATCTAATTGAAAACGAAAGAAATTAAATAGAAAAATTAAAATATTTTTTTATTATTTACCGATCAAAAGCATATTGACTTTCAGCTCGAAAAAAATAAACATGATTTTTAAATTGAAGTTTAAATACAAAATCTTTATTAACACCATCGAATTCGGATGGTAATGAACTACGATATCCTAATAAAGGTAATGATGCCAATGGGTAATCATCCTTAATAAATACAGAAATCAAATGATTATTTTTATAGACGAAAAAATCAAATAACTAACTTGATAAGTTTTATAAAAGAATAAACTAAAATTTGTAAAAATAACCCATAATTTTTGCCAACCATTTGAATTTTTAAATTTCCGTAATAAATAACCACTTAATTGATTTTTAATTGTTTGCCGATGATCATGTATTGATACAGATAAATTTCGATGCCAACATACATGCATAGTTGTATTAGCACGATGTTGTACACATGAACGATCAATTTGACTCATATTATCATCATCAAGTGTTCCAACAACTGAATGTTCAAGATTTTCTGATGATGCTAAATAAAAAATTTGAATAGAAACACATTTGTTTCATGCGTTTCTTACCATTGGATTTCAACGTAGCTGAATATTGATGTTTTTGATCATCAGAATTTATTTTAAGATTTTCAATAGCATATTTTAAATCATGTAACCATTTTTTCTTTTCAGTTGGTGAACTAAAATAAAATCAAGAATATCTTCTGTAGATATTTCAAACATTAATATTAAAGATATAAAATTCATGTATGTTCGTATCAAAGACATCTGATGATCTTTAAGTAGTAGCGTAACCACACTGGGGCTTAACCCCATCAGCCGGATTTTTTAGTTACCGAACTTGTCAATCAAAAAATCCAAGAGACTAGACAGTTTTGGGGTTAAGCCTCATCATCCTTAAATTTTCGATTACGCCACTACCTTTAAGTCCTTGGTCCTCCCTTATTTCTGACAGAAAACGTATCTCTTGGCATTGAAAGATTATTCTTGGTTATATCCAGTAGTTTTAGAATAGTCTGAGCTATTTGCGGTTCTTTCTTCACATTCCAAACCATTGGAATGAGTGGCTGCCTTGATTTGTACCCAATGACCTTTGGCTCCAGCTGTTAAGGTCTGTAACGGGAGAGGAAGCCGCAAAACCTCGACTGATCCTCGTTATTTTCTTTCATAAAATATCAAAAGTATATATACCTTGCTACTACGAGTAATGATCGATTGCCAGTATAGATAGTAATAGAATTAGGAATATTAACATGTTCATCACTATCTTCAACCTGAAAAAAAATATAGAAACTATTGTATTAATATGACTATAAATAATCAATACTAACTGTCATTGTTCTTAATGATAGTTCACCATGAAGTTTAAATTGAAGTACAGGACTTGAACTACGAGCACAATAAAGTAGTACATCAGAGAACTAGATGAAAATTCGAAATAGTTTTACAAAAAAACAAAACTAATAAATTTACTAAAAAAAACATTCGTTGTTGATATCCTTTTCGTGATAATTTTTGAAGGCAACCTTCACGTATGAATTGCTAAACAAACGAAAAAATTGAATTTAGAAATATTTTCAGGCAGTTACAAATTCACTTACGCGATCATATTGACTCGAGAGATTATCCACACCAATCAGATCACGTTGGAGTTCAATTAATTTTTGCCGATTTAGCTAGAAAATAAAAATAAATTTCGTTACACATCTTATTCCCAATGGAATATATAACAAGACGAGCATAAATTAACTCTTTGAAAATACAACATTCTTTTTTACTGAATTACTTTCTGTCAGATTTTACCACTTCACACTCTTCAAAACAATTGACAATCATGAATATTAACTATCCATTGACCTTGACAATTCCTCATACGTTCCCCTATTGCAACGAGTCTGTTTCCTGTCATTTATTTTAATTGAATAAAAGTAAATAACATTGGTCCACGTCAAGGAAAAAGAAATGAATATAATGATAGAGAAAAAAACCTACCATTTTAATTACTCTAGTTTTCGATTCCTAAGGATAACTCTCTATCTTATCGCATACAGAGTCATTGAAAAATTCAATTCTCCCAAATGCCTGTATAGACATCTTTTATTTGGATTGCATATATTATTCCGATTAGTAAAGTATCGAATTTTTTCTATATAATGCTTTCGATTTCTACTTTAAATAAAACAAGTTTATATACCAATAATGTTAATGATTCAGCAAAATTTTCAATTAAATCTTGAATTTTAATAAATATTCCATAACAATCTTGATATTCAATTTCATAATCATTATTTTTATAATAAATGAGTAGTTCTAAAATAAATAAATGAAATAGAAAAATTTTATTTCTATGAAAAAAAAATCATACTTTCAAATAAATATTCGTAATGTAAAAGTCTTTGTAATGGTTTGATTAAAAATGATATGAATGATAAATAACAAAATTTTTCAGATTCGAATTCTTTATAAATTATTTCGAAACGTCGATTATGTTTGAGGATATATTCAAGTTCAGTTAATAAACGATCATAATTTTCTATATAACGTTCATATCTCTATATAAATAAATATAAAAGTAATACAAACAAAAAAATATATTCTTATTTACTTACGGGTAAGATTTCAATTAAATTCATCATTAAATCTCCAATTTGTTGAGCCATTTTATCAATCGGAAGACATTCATTACCCGGTATAGAACGTGTTTCCCTAAATTAGACAAAATAGAACCGAAATCCTTTTGTCTTTTTCTTACCATATTGATATTCGTTGTTCAAGTTGTCGAAGAAAATGTGCATGAAAAGTATAAATAGGTAATAGATGTGTAAATAAAACATCAGATAAATGTATTAATGTTTCATTTTCAAAATTATATTCATCAGTCATATAAGAATCTTGATAATGATTAATAGCAAGCATTAATTCTCGACGAAAATGTTCAGCAACAACTTCAATATCTTTTTTATATGTTCGTTCAGTCATTAAAAGTTCTTTACATATAAAAAATGATCGATCATGAATAGATGGTATTATCATTGTTGATGAAACAGATGTTGGTAGAGTTGTTGTTGATAATGATGAAGGATGAACACTACCAATTAATCGCTAAATAATTGAAATTTGTTTTTAAACACTAGCCATGTAATAGAAAAACAAAATATTACCGGAATGCCCGCCATTGGAGGACTTGCTCGATACGATGTTGAAGGGATTGATCTCGATGCTAAATAAACAAGGTAAGATAAAATTATTTTTCATTAGATCGAAAAGCTAATTGAACGGAGTGGAATCAAAGAAATCTTTGCAATATCGATTTACTGTACAAAATCTTTTCTTAAAATTTTCAGTTTAACAAACAATACATACGTGATTGTTGATGTCGACTTGTACTTCTTGATTCAATCGTACATACAGGTGTTCTTGGCGATCGGTATTCATGAATAACTGGTATTGTTCGAGTCTACAGGAAATAAATTAAATATATGTGTATATATTCATTATCTTATTTATTTACTCTAGATTCATCTACAGCTGATTCTTCCGTTTTATTATAGGGTGATGTTAAAATAGACAAAGGTGATGAAGTTGAATACATATTTTCATTCATTGAAGATCTTAAAAAACATATATTTAAATTATCTTATTTAATTTCAACTATATATTTACATTTTAGTTGGACTTTCAATATCAATACTATCATTATCTATCATTTTTATTTGTTTGCCAAGATTTAATCGATGTGTTGCTGTTAGAATTTGCTGTTCAGTATTTGATAATCGTCGTGGTGGTGTACTACTTGTTAAAGGCGGTACAGATCGATGACTATTAACTGTTCCACTAATATGTCGACGATTTGTTGTTGGTAATGAATCTTCTATAATATATAGAATAAAACTTAGTTTTTTTTGTTTCAATCAAGCCATAGAATTCAGTTTGATCAATAATGCAATGAAAAAAAAAAGAATGAATATCCTTTAGTATTGCATTCAAGGGCACCGACAATGAGAGAAACGACTTCGGTTAACAAGAGGATAATTAAACATATGAACTAGAGTCATTATCAATAATAAACTTGTAATGTTTGTATCTTCAATTTGAACTCATTTAATAACTATGAAAAGATTCTTGTGAATGAATGTTCAAATAGATTTTTCTTCTCAAGTACTTCATAGGATAAGAAAGAAAAGGAAATAGAACAACTATGAGTAAAAATACTTTGTGTTAATTCTTCCGTTGTCATATAAAGTAAATATACTTTGTCAACATATATATATATATGTCATCAAATAGAAAGCGCATACTATTCATAAATTGGATCATCGTAGTAGAAAATATATCATTACTAGATAAACTTATTGTTTATTCCCAATAGTGTAAATAATAGTAAAAAAAACTAAAATTTGATCACTAAATGGAGAAATATATTCTTAGTAGATATCTGAGTACGAGAAAAAAACAAATCAGATTGTATTTTCTGATTGATTATTAGTTTAGAAGTAATAGTGTAAAGAGGTTTGAATTCAATTAGATAAACGAAATGAAAATATTTAGTTATAAAAATTATTCTATAAAAAACATCGATGACGTCAATAATAGCTAATAGATAAATAATTACTCTTATATATAAACTTGATTTTACATATAAAAATTAATTTTTAAATATTCCGAAATTTTACTTCAGTTATAAAATCAGATAAAACATACATTCATTAAAATATATATATATAAACAATGTTTTGATTAATATATATCTATTCATAGATCCAATTATTTTTTCCCGAACTAATCTTATTTTATTACCAAAGAACTTCTTTCAATAAGATAACACATCTTTACAGATGAAAGTAGATAATAAACATTTTTTTTCTAATGAATATTTCATATTCAAAAATGACTATAGACTGTCGTTATATTTATAATACATATGTAGTAGATCTATATCATATACGAAAAGTAAAAAAAAATGTACTCTTACTCTATTTCAATTATATGCACTATCGTTACATTATTTATAGATCGATCTTCGAGTTGAAGTGTATATATCCTTCTTAAGATAATTGAACTTACAAAGTAATATAATCGTCAAATATAGTCATGAGAGTAGATTCAATGAAAGTAAACTTTCTCGAACAACTTAGAGATGATAGAATCTATTCATAGGAAAATAATTGTATTAAATGTACGATATTCTGTTCTTTTTCCCCAAAAATGTGGTGTAGTGTAATGAATGTTTATTGGAGAGAAAAAAAGAGAGAAGCCTAAGGGAATAAATCCTTTTGAGTTTTTTCACAATTCATTAAATCTAAATATGTTGTTTCACTAGTAATGATAATACCAAATGTTATTTTGAAAAACATCGCTCAACTTCGAAAATTTTGATAATTATAAAAATCTCTGTTTTAAAGTACAATAATATTGAACCATAATATTCGATTTTAATGTTGCGTATTAAAAAGAATATTTCATCTAAAATTTGAAGTATCTGATACTTGAATATAAGTACTTCAACTCTTTCCGATTCATTACGGAAATGTCACGAAAAGACTTTTCTTTTAGTATAAATGAACAATTCTATCAGAGAATTTAACTAGTAATGGCGTGATTATGATTACAACAATGATGACACATGGGAATAGTAACTTAATTCCCTTTTATTACATCACTATTTATTTCTTTAATATAAAGATTTACCGTTATCAATTTGATCAATCGGATGTTGAACTTGTGTGATATGATTATTATCAATTTGAAATGGTTCACTACTTCTATAAATACGTGTAGATGATGATGATACTCCATTTGTTGTTTTTTGTATAAGTTCATCTTCGTCCTCATCTGTATTTTGTTCATCAGATAAATCATATTTATCACGACTAAATCTTGAATCTAACGTTCGACTACCATGTGTGGATGAATCATCATGATAAACTTGTTGATAAACATCCGCTGTATCATTTATAATACCAGTTTGATGCCGATGATGACGAACAGATTCAACTGTATCCGATGGTTTTATTGTTGATACTGGTGAACGATGTGTTCGATTTGTTACTGGTGCAACTGTACGTGTATTTGAATAAGATCTAAAACAAATGAAGATATTTCATTTTGAAATTTTCTTTCTTTTTTTTCTACCTAGTAAATGTTCGATTTTTATTATAACATTCACGTGCATATTCAACAATTTCTTTTTGTGTTCGACCATGATATCGAAATGATGAACCACGTGATAATAATTTCGTTTTTGAACGATGTAAACGTTGTATTGTCACACAACGAAAGAAAGCATGATATTCAATACATTTTTTCCAAAAATTTTTACATTCATCACGTGTATCGAAATAAAATTCGACTGTATCTTTATAATAACCCTTTAAAAATATACAAACTTATTTTTGTTGAAGATAAAAAAAGAGAAAAATCTTACATATCCTTCTGGTTGTAATTTAATTAGAAATTTTTTACGTTTAAAACTTAATTTACGAATTTTTGCCCAGGAAAATGTATTAATTTTTGTTATATTTTGAAAGACAAGTATCCCCATATGTGCAACAGATAAATTCAGATTAACTTGTTCATGATCTTTAGCTGTATGCATTTTAATACCATATAATTCAACTTTACGTGCTGTATCAAGTAGATTAAGATCAGCATCAGCTGGATGTTGTCCACTTTAATAAAATACTTGAAATAAATTCATGATTTGTAAGGATTATTTTACTTACAGATGATTTTTATGAAAATTCATTATACGAATTTCATGTTCAGGAGTTTGATGTGGAAAATATTTTCGTTGATTTAAATAACTAGGATTATTATTATATGTTTCAAGATAATCACCAATTTCCGCTAGAATTACAATCAAAGAAATAAAATAGAAATGAAATATAATTGCATACCTTGAACAATATAAGAAGCAAGCAAAGACGCAGTATTATCACTACATAATAATGTACCAAGAGCAAGATCACGTTTGATTTGTAAAGCAAAAAGATATCTTCAATATACAATATTAAGATTAGAAAGATATATATATACATATATTACCTAGTAAATTCTTCTTCCAATTGTCCTGGATCAGGTGTATAAAATTTGACACAAAATGAAAATTTTGTTTCTGTAACTTGTTTAAGTATAGGTTTATCCAATTCAAGCCAACACTTCAAAAATCGATAGTAATAGTAATAATAATAATAATAGAAAAGAATAATACATACAACATTTCGATGTCTATCTAAGTATTCCAAACCAAAATAATCTCGTTCAAGTAAATCAATATATTTGCAAACTGTATTAACCAAATCTTGTCCAATAGCCTTTGGCTAAAAAATAAATTACAATATTTCATAATAATTCGGTCAAATCAATCAATCAGATACACATGTGTGTGTGTAGAATCAATACATAAGAGAATTACTTGTGATAATAACTCGTATTTCATCACCAGAATAACGATGATGATAGACACGCACATACATTTACAGCAATTAACTTGAGTTATCTAGCGCATTCTTTTCTCGACTTTTTTTTGACAAATATATCATAGAATCAACTGTTATGATTAATAGTACTTGACATCGATAAAAATGTTATTACAAACAACAATTGTATACTTACATCTATATGAAATGGTAATTCTTGATCATCAAGCATACGAACTTTACATGGTATTTGTTTCCCCGCTTTCGTTTTTGTTATTGTTGTAGTAGTCGTCGTCATATTAAATTTTCTTACTAGTAATTTTTATTGTATATAAATAAGACGATAGACATGAATTGAAATATATTATTGTCATCATTTAAAAGTAAATTATTGTTTGATTTAATGGTATGTGTTAGTAATCATTCTTTATATATGTATATATCAAACATTTTATATATCTAAAAGAAATATATATAAAATAAACCTATCTGTATGTTGTCAATATTTATGATTTATAAAAGAAATAACGGACAGCATACATATGCCTCTCATCATTTGTTTTAACAACCATCAACTTATTTTGTTCCTTAGCCGCTAATAACATCCCTTCGTCGTTCTGTCTCTCGTCCAATGTTGATTATTATTTGCAATTGTAGTGATCGATGGTGTGAGTAAAAACACTACTCAATGAATGAAAATCAAATGCACGCATCTTTCTCGGTCGCTTTCTATTTCTCTGTCTCTATCTCTCTCTCTGTCTCGCTATACATATACATCAATGAAGGCTTGTTGAGTGGCTAACTGAAAGAAGAGCACATAAGAAGAAAAAAAA